TAATGATGTGTCTTGGAGTGGGCCTCACTGGGTTCCTCTTGAATGGGACTCGCTGTGCTTCCTCGACTTGTGTGGCTTTTTCTCTCCTCCAGTTAGGGAAGTTTTCCATCATTGCCTTTTCAAACAGGTTCTCTATCCCTTCCTCCTCCTCTTCTTCTTCTGGTATCCCTATTATAAGGATATTATTACATTTCAGGTTGTCCTGCATTTCCCTGAATGCCTCTTCATTCTTTTTGAGTCTTTTTTCATTTTCTTGCTCTTTCTGGAAGCTTTTTCTACCTTGTCCTCCAGTTCTCTGTTTCAATCCTGTGCTTAATTGAATCTGCTTTTGATTCCTTCTACTGTGTTCTTCAATTCAGAAATTGTATTCTTCATTTCCTTTTGCCTCTTGTTGATAGTTTCTGTGTCCTTTTTCATGCTGATATAGTTTGCAGTAAGTTCTTCGTAGTTTCCCTGTAGATTTTTGTAATTCTCTCTGAGCTCACTGAACTCATTGAGCTTCCTTAGAACTGTTGTTTTGAACGTAATATCTGATAGTTTACTTGGCTCTATTTCATTTAGTTCTTTTCTGAGGATTCCCCCTTTCCCTTTGACTGGGGGTTGTTTCTTTGTCTTCCTATTATTTGTGAGACTCTTCTTTTTTGCTTCTGCTTCTTAAATTGCTCTGTCTTGACTTCCTGACTCTGTGGTGTTAACTTCTATTGTAGGAGACTGCTGTTTTTTCTTTCTGAATCTGCCTCTGTTGATGTCAGATGTTGACCCTATCTGACCTTAGGCAGTCTGTTTGAGACTTCCAGGAATCTACTGCTTGTGAGTGTTTCATTCAGTTGTTAATCTACTCACCCTGCACTCAGCAATCAGGATTAGGCACCACAGGGCAGGTCAGAGTTCCTCCTGGGGAAAGGGTTATTGTGTCCTCTCATGCTGCTGACACTCAGGGGAGTGGTCTGCTTGAGATGGCTGCAGCTGTGTGAGGGAGGAGTCAGCACTGGGATCTCGCCAGCTGCTTAGTTTTCTCCTCAAAGCCTCCATCTCTCCTCAAGTGTCTCTAGACAACTCTGTGCACTCTTTAGCCAGGGATATACTAACTGCGATGGACACTCTCTATTCAGCCATTGGACCTAAGCACCACCAGGCCAGGGCCAAGTCCCTCTTTGGGGAGGGTTTATTGTGTCCTCTTGTGCTGCTGCTACTCAGGGGAGTGGTCTGTCTGAGCAAGATGGCTGCTGTCATATGGGGGATGAGCCCGCACTGGGATTCCACCATGTATTCCTTTAGTTCTTTCCCTAAAGCCTCCTTCCCCAGTCTCTCCTCATGCATCTCTAGCCCATTCTGTCCCAGTCTTTGTCAGAGCCCAGGGCAAGTGGCTGAAAATAAAAATTTATGCATTGGTTCTTAAACAGCTCTTTGCATCTCTAGCTGCCTTTCTCCAGCAGAGAGCAAGCCTGCTGCTTTTTACAGCTGGCTGTTATCTGTGTACCTTTTGAGCTCTGGTGCTGTAGGCTGGAGATCCCTGCTTATGGTTTAGATACCACTCATCTCAGAGGGATCCAACTGGCCATTTAAATATCTTTCTGGTACTGCTGCCTGTGGGTGCCCCGCCCCCTTTCTCAAGTCTCTACTGCACTCCTTACCAGTTAGGTTGTGCTAAAGCTGATTCTTCTGTCTGAGGTTATAAGGTTCCTTCCTCGCTATTGTTCAGTTGTTTATTCCTGGTGATTTCTCCACAATTCAGTTGTAATTCCAAATTGGTCCTAGGAGCAGGTCAGTGTGACTTCCCCTCACTTCTCTGCCATCTTGAAGTTCTCCTATACTATTCTTAATGTTCCCCCTGTCTATTTTGTCCCAGCAGTTAGGCTACTTGACCCCTGTACCATTTCTTCCTTACTCCCCCTGTGCCTCCCAGCTGTTAACCTTCCACATGATCCCAGTACCTATGATTCTGTACCTCTTCTGGTTGTTTGTTTAAGTTGTTCTTGTTTTTATTTTTTAGAATCAGTTGTTGATATCTGCGTGTTTGTTGTCATTCATAGTTTTGATTTTCTTTTTCTTAAAAAAGTCCCTTTAAAGCTTCATGTAACAATGTCTTAGTGATGATGAATTCCTTTAGCTTTACTTTGTCTGGGAAGCACTTTATCTGCTCTTCCATTCTAAATGACAACTTTTCTGGACAAAGGAATCTTGGCTGTAGATCATTGTTTTATGTCACTTTGAATAGTTCTTGCCAGCCCCTCTTGCTTGCAGAATTTCTTTTGAGAAATCAACTGACAGTCTTATGGGAACTCCTTTGTAGGTAATGCTCTGCTTTTCTCTTGCTGCTTGTGAGATTCTCTATTTATCTTTGGCATTAAAACCATTGGCATTTTAATTATGATGTGCCTTGGTGTGGTCTTCTTTGGTCCAAAGTGATTACAACTCTGTGCTTCTTAGACTTGCATGAGTATTTTCTCCACCAAATTAGGGAAGTTTTCTTTCATTTTTTCAAATAGACTTCCAATTTCTTGCTCTTTCTCTTCTCCTCCTGGCACCTCTATGATGTGAATGTTGGACCTCTTGAAGTTGTCCAGAGGCTGCTTATACTACCCTCATATTTTTTATTCTTTTTTTTTCTTGTTGTTCTCCTCTGGGACTTTTATGGTGTCACAATTTATATTTAAGTCTTTTATTAATCTTGAGTGTATTTGGTGTGTAGTGTAAGTTGGTGGTCTAGTAGCCTTTTTAATAAACTGTGCTGAAGAAATTGGACATCTATAGGCAAAAAAGTATACCTTGATATATTTCACACCTTATACAAGAACTAATACAAAATGGATTATTGCTTTAAATGTTAGATGCAAAACTGTAAAACTTGTAGGAAAAAAATAAAAAATTGTCAGAATCTAGAGATTTTTTTTAAGTGAAAGCATAACATACAAAGAATAATATACAAAGGAATATATTGATAAATTAGACTTTATTAAAATTAAAGTATTCATTTAAGAGGATGAAAAAACAAGCTATAGTGTGGAGGAATTATTTTCAAACAAAATTTTCAATAGTATCTAGACTATATAAAGAATTCTAAAGCTCAACAAAATAAAACACACTCAATTAGAGAATGGACAAAATAAATGAAGTGACATTCCATTGAAGGATATATAGATTTTGTATAAAAAGATTTCAATATCATTAGCTATTAGGAAAATAACAACGTCACAATGATATCACTACACATCTTTCAGAATGCCTAAAATTGTAAAAAAAAGAGATATAACACCAAATGCTGACAGAGATGCAGAGAAACTGAATCACTTACCTATTCCTGCTGGGAATGTAAAATCAAACTGTCAGTCTGGAAAATAGTTTTACAGGTTTCTTTAAAACTAAACATGCAAGTGCATTGCTGCACATTGATCCTGGAAAAACCTAAAATTTCATTTACACGAATACCCATATAGAAATGTTTATAGCAGCTTTATTCATAATAGCCCCAAAAAGAAATGATTGGGATATCCTTCACTAGGTGAGTAGTTAAACCAGTGATTTTGAACTCATGTGCTGTAAGAATTTATAAAACATGTGATACCTGACTATTTAGTCAGGGTACTGGTCTCTTTTTCCTTAGATTATTAAATTTAAAAAATGACAACAACCAACACAACAGTAGCCATCTGGCATGTATGAATTAAAATTGCACCTATTGTTTTGTCAGATTAGCAAAAAATATAAAATATCTTTTAGTGTGCCACAAAATTTTAATAATTAGTTCATGTATACCATGAGGTGAAAAAGATTAAAAATTGCTGAGTTAAACAAACTGTTATGCAGCCACACCATGGAATACTACTTAGCAATAAAACAGAACAAAATAGTGATGCACACAACAGTGGGGGTGAATCTTTAAAGAATTATGCTGAATGAAAAAAGCCAATTTCCCAAATTTTCATACTGTATGATTTTATTTCTATAGCATTCTTAGAATGACTAAAGTATAGAAGTGGAGAATAGATTAGGGGTTGCCAAGGTTAAGGAGAGGATGAGGGCAGGAAGGAAATGTATTCGACATAAAAGGGCAACATGAGGGAGCCTTGAAGGATGGAAGTGATCTATATTTTGGCTGTCAATTTTAATATCCTTATTATAATATTGTACTATAGTTTTGCAAGATGTTATTGTTGGGGAAACTGGATAATCTGTACATGGGCTTTCTCTATATTATTTCTTAAACCTGTATGCAGATCTATATTTATATCAAAATAAAAAATTTTAAAAGCAGATTTATTATGTAGCTCTTTAGCTCAAGGAACTAAATCATACAAACTAAAGTTTCACAGCCCTGGAATTAAGTTAGGAGAGTCATTTTGTTACTGGTGTTAGGGTGCTTAGATTAGCAATGATAGTCAAGAGGAAGCCCCAGAATAATTTTAAGGTTGATCTTATTAAGCTTATGCCCAAGCACAGAGGAGGCATACAGAGAAAGGAAGGACCTTTAAGCTATCTAGGGGAGTTAACTCTGCTTGGCTGCTTTTATAAGCTGGGACAAAATAGGCTTGCTTTCAAAGACAGCCTTTTTTTAAAAAAGGCAGGCTTGTAGATTTTTCCATGTCAGTATAGAAAAAGCAAGCAGTTAGAAGGAATAGGAAATTCTTTTTTTTTTTTTTTTTTTTTTTTTTGAACAGGGAGTGGAGGGGTGATGGCATTTTTGCAGTGAACTACTCCTTCTGGCCACCTGGTTTTACCTTGGCTTCCTGGACACACGGTAGTCTTCTATTCCTCATATCCCTATACTGTCTTCATTTAAGGAGGAATTAACCTTTCTGGTATTTCCCAAATCTTTCTTTTAATTTTGTTGTGAAATATCTATGTTATAAAATTTACTATTTTAATTGTTTTTCAATAAGTGTTTCAGTGGCATTAAATTTCTTCACATTATTATGCAACCATCACCAACATCCATCTCAAACTTTTTCATTATTTCAAATGGAAACTCCATACTCATTAAACAAAAAGTCCCCGTTCCACAAAATATGAGATGCTTCAAGAATTTCTGTGTCATCCTGTGCAAGGACCATGCTAACTTCTCTATTGTTTCAATTTTAGCGTGAATGCTGCCAAAGTGAGCATCTAAAGTCTTTCTTTTAGTTGGCTATGTTTTCCACTTACACATGATAGTATCAGGCTGATAACTCAAAGGCATCATTCCTGGCAGCCCTGATTTGCATAACATACTATGGTTAGCAGAATCCATTGTTTGAGCTGATTCTTTTGCCTTGTGACAATTTCACAAATATTTAGAAGATTATGTTTGTAAGTAAATTGATTCAATTTGTAAACATTCACTTCCCCTCTTCTCTTCTTTGGGTCTACTGTATGGGACATATTGTTGGATAAACAGGATGCTCATTTTACTTAACCTAAAATTTTGTGTACTTGTGGATTATATGGACCCAAAGGAATTCTGAGGGAAAAAATATTCCTTAATAACTTTAAAAATAAACCATTTTAATAAATTATTTTTGCTAATTTTTATTTATCTCTTTTAAGAAATGTAGATTTCTAAACCATCTGTTTTTAAAGATTTTTTCTATGCATAATTCTTTTGAAAGTACCTTAAATTGTGGAAACATTTAGTAGATTGTATTCTATTCAATTTCCTCAATTAAGTTTAGGATGTATTTTCTAAAATGTGTCAGAAATTACAACAAACTCCTCTGGTATTGAAATATTTTGAGTGACTAATGTTTTACCTTGCTGTGAGTTTTATTTTTTAAGTAGACTTTATGTTTTGAAAGGATTTTGGATTTATAGAAAAATTAAGAAAATATTACAGAGAATTTCCATATATCCTGAACCCACTTGCAAATATTAAAATCTTATATAAGGATGACACATTTATTATAATTAATAAACCAATATTGATACATTACTATTAAGTTCATAGTTTATTCAGATTTTCTTAGTTTTTACCTACTGTTCTTTTTCTGTTTCAGGGTCCCATCAAGGATATCACACTACATTTAATTGTCATGTCTCCTGTGGCTCCTCATGGCTGTGGAGTTTTTCTGATTTTTCTTGTATTTATTATCTTGTCAGTTTTGAGAATAACTGGTCAAGCGTTTTTGGGATATCTAGATATTGAAATTTATATAATGTTTTCCTCATAAAGACAGAAATCAAGTGTTATTTTCATCATATAGGGAATATCTGTTAAGTGTGGGAAAATTGGATAAAGGAGGTGGTTTGGGGTGTGGGCTCAGGATTGCTTGGTTTACAAGTCAAAGGTATGCTTTCAGAAAATGTTTTGCTACCTCTAGGAATTAGCTAACTTTAGGAGAACCAACTCCTCCCTGGGTCCACAGGTCCCAAGTTGTCAAAGCATTTTAAAGTACAGAAACTAGAAACCATTATTAATCTATAACAACTGATCATTTTACTGTCTCTCTAGTTGTGCTTTGTCCAGAGTATCATACAATTGGAATCATACAATATGTAGATTTTTCTGATTGATTTCTTTCCCTTAGCAACATGTATTTAAGATTCCTCCAAGTCTCGACAGCTGGTTTGTTTAAATTCAGTAACATTCTATTGTATAAATGTATAATTCTACTATGTGTTGATTTATTAATCTGTTGAAGGATATCTTGGTTGCTTCCAGTTTTGGGCAACTAGTTAATAAAGCTATTATAAACATTCACATGCAGATTTTTTGTGTGGACATATGTTTTCAAATTAATTGGACAAATATGTAGGAATACAACTGCTGAATTATATGTTAAGAGCATGTTTAACTTCACAAGAAACTGCCAAAACGCACTTCAAAGTGTTTGTAGTATTTTGTGTTCAAGTAATGAATGAGAATTTCTGTTGTTCCAGATACTTGTAAGCTTTTGGTATTTTAGTTTTTTGGATTTTAGCCATTTTTATAGGTTTGTAGTGGCATCTTATTGTTTTAATTTGTAATTACCTAATAACAATGTTGAGAAATTTTCAAATGCTTATTTTCCACCTGTATGTCTTCCTTTGTAAGGTGCCTATTCGTACCTTTCACCTATTTCTTGAGTTGTTTACTTTCTTATCATTGAACTTTCAGAGTTTTTTGTAAATTTTGGTAAAAAGAACTTATCAGTTATGTGGTTTGCAAATATTTCCTCCCAATTTGTGGCTTGTCTTATTTTCCCTGCCTCTTTCACTGATGGAAATTTTTTATTTTAATGAAGCTGAATTTATCATATTGTTCTTGTATGAATTTTGCTTTTCTTTTTACATCTAAAAACTCATTGCTAAATCCAACTTCACATAGACTTTTCTCCTGTTTTATTTTTTCCCCCCAGAAGTTCTATATTTATGTCTAAGATCCATTTTTACATTTTTAGTTAATTTTTGTCAAAGGAGTAAGATTACTTTCCTTTTTGGCATATGACTGTCTAATTTTTTCAGTACCACTAGTTGTAAATATGCTTTCTTAATTGATTTTCCTTTGCTCTTTCGTCAAAGGTCGATTGACTATCCAAGGGGGGACCCTGCAGGCCCTCAGAATTTATTCATTAAAAATTGTATATTTAAGTTCAGCCACTTTCAAAGTACTCTCCATTTGATGAAATGCACCTATCCCCTGCTCAAAACAGCTTCTGAACTCACTGAGTTTGAAGTTTTTTAGTACTTCTGCCATTTTTTGTTTTACCTCTCCCACACTGGCACAAAATTTCCCTTTGAGGGTTTTTTCTTCACCCAGGGAAACAAAAAACAAACATTACTTGGAGGAAGATCTGGTGAATAGGGAGGGTGGGGCATGGTCATCATGCCATTTTTGGTCAAAAACTTCTGAACACTCAGTGCAGTGTGGGAAGGTGCACTCATAAATCACCCACCATGAAATGGGCAAATGTGTTAAAAGAGTCTTCAAAAAAAATTTGCTGAGTCTGAATGCAGCCTCTCACAACAATGCCAGCTGGTACACTGATACAGATGGATTCCTAGAACACTCACCTAGAGGGGGAAGCCTATACTACAAGGGGCCTGTTCTCCAGAAGATATTAACAATTTGGGGGGAGGGTCTCTCCTCATACTTCTGTTGATCTATTTCTGGGCTTTCTATTCTGTTCCACTAATATATGTGTCTATTCATTTGCCAATATCACATTGTCTTGATTATTGTAGCTTTATAAAAAATAGATATTTCAGAGGGTCCTAGTATTTAAATTTGTCAGAAAAAGGTCTAGAGAAGTGAGATTTTTAGTTTTTAATTAAGCCTCTGTTATATCTGCAATGAGAGTATCAATCACTCATACCACCCTCAAATCTACATTTCCAGCTTATTTTAACAAGTTGGTGTGACAGAACTTCTAGATAAACAGAATATAAAATATTTTATTAGCTTAGAAAAAATATATTTTATTTATTTATATAGAGTTATATATTATATATAGTTATACATTAAATATATATAAATACATATATTTAACTATATATATCACACAAAAAACTGGTGACTAGAATATATAAATAACTCCTATAAATCTATATGAAAATGTAGGTAAACAAGTTTTAAAATAAATAAGGGAAATAAATGGGCAATTTCCAGAAGAAATGAAAACATCCAAATAAAAAAATGAAATGTTCCTTCACTAATGCCTCAGGAATCAAGATTTACAAATTAAAATAGCATTTTACATGGATCAGATTCACAGGTTCACGCAAACTAAAAAGCTTGCTAATATCATGTATTAGTTAGATTATGGCACAATAGAAAAATTTATAAGCTTCTTTGCAGGATCAGTATGACCAATATAGGGAGTATTTTTAACATGTCTGAAAATATTAAATATTTGTATTTTCTATGACACAGCTGCAATTTCACCTCAAAGTGTATATTTGAGAGAAATTATTAAATAGAAACAGAAAAGATTACTTAAAAATGTAATGTATTTTTCTATTTTCTGTATCCATTCCCTACTGGCTGATATTACCTGGGGAGTCAAAGGAAGTGGTTATTCCAATACCCCCTCTTTTTCCAATATGAACCCTCATTCTAAGTTTAAATGTTTGGCCCGAAGCAGAGTAGTTGAAACAGCAAACATCACAGCCAAACATGCATATAGGCATTTTTTTCTGTTAACTACATTGAAGGAGAAAATGGCAGATAACTTCAGAAGATACTTCAGAAATCATTCCTACTTTCTTGTTGCAAACCATCCATATCATTTGGCAAATTATGGTAGGATTTTTATATCTATTAGCAAACAATCTTTATGATTATATTGAAAACTTCCAGCGTGTAGGGCACCATGGGAAAAAAAGAAACCCAGATATTTTCATGCTGTATTTATGCTAAAGGGATTGTGGAGACAAACAAAACTTGAAAAAGAGATTTGGGTTCATAATTCTTTGCTTCAGAGACACATTTGAAAAATTCACATTTTAGTGAATGTCTCTACAGTGCTTAGAACCAGACACTTCTGGATATTTTAACATTCTAGAAATTTAACCTCTCTGAAATTCAATTTCTCTGTAAATATAGTGACCACTTTATAGGTTTTTGTGAGAAATATATAAAAGTGTAAATTAAGGCATTTAGCATCATGATTAACACAGAGTAAGAGCTTGATGAATGTTAATTCTCCTTTTTCCCCAATTTACTTAGAATAATTTCAAAATGCAGAGAGTTATAGAGAATAATAAAACCAACTATTTAAAAATTATAATACCTTGTCAAATTTGCCTGACATGAATTTTTTAAAATCCTCACTCAAGAATTTGTTTACTGATGTTTAGAGGGAGAAAAAGGGAGAAGGAGAGAGGGAGGGAGGGAGAGAGAAAAATCCACATCCATTGGTTGCCTCTCATATGCACCCCCAGCAGCGGACTGAGTATCTAATGTGCAACCTAGGTATATGCCCCCTGACTCGGGACCAAATCCACAAACTTTTGGTGTATTGGATGATGCTCCAACCAACTGAGCCACACGGCCAAGGCTGCCTGAAATGACTTTGAAGGAAATAAATCTTTATAGGCACAGTTAAAGCTCCCTTTGTCCTGTCTCTGAATATATATATTAATTTGCCTTCCAGAAGTAACTTATTTTTATTTTTAGCATTCTCATGCATTTCCATATGTTTTAATATATA